TGACTCCTCTTGTGCAGCAACTCAGTCAGAGAGTACAAATCAGTTGGCATCCAAACCAGTTTCAACAATATCTGGTGTTTCACTATCATCTCCAACACAGTCACCAGCTTCCACAACTCCTCAAGGTGCATCCACTTTATGCTCATCTCAGAAACCCAGACTGGCTAGACAAGCCACAATGTCACAACAGTCTTCTGTTTCTTTAACATCTGCTGGTTCTACTACTTTAACTTCAAGAGACTCCTCAAGTGTAACCTCCAAATTGGCCTCTCCAGTTTCTCAGCCAGTAGATACACATGGTGGAAAATCATCTGAGCAGTCTGGTGGGTTTTTTAACTTTTTCAAGACAGCAGTGGGGATAGAGGAGGTAAGGTTAGATCCCTCTAAATCTACTCGGTCAGTATATAGACAATCAGAGAAAGATGGATCTGCTTCTGCTGGCATAAAATATTCATTAACAAATCAAGACAAAACTGGAAAGTCTGGCCTTTTGGGGTCAATAGGTGATATTTTTAAAATAGAAAGTCCTTCTAACACACCACCAAAGACAAATCTGCAACATTCTCCCTCACACGTGCAATCAATTTCTATAATAAATGATGAAAACAAAGACTGCTGCCAAACAAAAACAATGCCTAAAGAAATTCAGAAAAAACAAACAAGTATCTCTGGACAACATGGTCAGTCAGAATTACCTAGTGTATCACAGTCATTTCAGGGAAGGGGTGTCTCAGCATCTCAGATATTTTCCCCTAATGCTAACAAGGTACCAACACCAGGAAGATCTCAAACTATGCCACCAATTGGGGAGACAAAACCAGAAGCCCCCTCCAAGCAATCTGGTGGTTTGTTTGGTTTCTATGTTGGGGATATGTTCTCTGGGACCACAACCTCTAAAGAGGAAGGCAAAGGGCTGCTGTCCATATTAGGTGGTTCCAGTCAACCACAAGCTCAATCTCAAACTGGTTCTGCCTCTCCTCAAGAATCAATGGGCGGTGCATCTGCAAAAGAGCCACTAGGCAAAAACATCCTGACTTTGTTTGAAGGTTCCAGCATGCAACAGACTTCACCACCATCTGGATCCTCAAGTCAAGTGGACACACCAGGATCTGCTCCTCCCAAAGAGACTCGAAGTCTAAATTTATTTTCTGTGTTCAGTGGCTCTAGTACACAGCAGTCTTCAACACTACTGGGTTATTGTAATCAAAAACACACACCTGGCACTGTCCCTCCAAAGGAAACATCAGCATTGGGTTTACTCTCCATGATTAGTGGTTCCAGCACTCAGCAGACTTTACCTGGATCCGGAACTGATCCACTAAAAGATACACCAGTAGCAGGATTGCTATCTATATTCAGTGGCCCTAATCAACCTCAGACATCACAACCACGATCTACCACACAGCCTGCACCCCAAGGGAATAGGCAACAAAAAGAGCCCCTGGGGAAAAGTTTATTTTCAATGTTTGGTGGTTCAGGGCAACAACCTTCACAGCAGTCAGGATCAATTTTTGGTGGTATGTTAGGTGGATCTTCAAGCTCTACTAAGAGTCCAACAAAAGGTTTATTCTCTATGTTTGGAGCACAAAGCCCACAACCACCAACCACCAGAGTGCCAGGCACTGTCCCTACTAATGAGCAGACAGTTAAAACTTCTTTGTTGAATGGGTCTAACTCCCAACAAACTCCACCACAACCTGTCTCTTCTCCTGCAAAAGGAGCAACTCTTGCAAAGGAACCAACTAATGACAGTCCAGCAAAGGGTTTAGTTTTGGGGTCTGGAATAGCCAGCCACCCAACAGCTTTACAGGAAGGCTTGACTCCTGAGCCTGTTGTCCCATCAAATGAGCCATCAGTAAATCAAATACCCTCCTTGTCTAGTGGACCTAGCCCTCAGCAATCCCCACAACAACCAGATTCAGTGTCATCTTCTATTTCCCTTGATAGTAAAGAGTCAAAGGAGCCACAAGTTAAAGACTTCTTGATCACTGGACAAATTCCTCAGCCAGGTTCTTCTCAACCCTCTTTACTTCTAAGTGGTCTGTTATCAAAGGAAACCCCTGGTAAAGGTCTTTTGGCAAACCTCAGTGGGGCTATAAATCAGTCAAGTGAGACACTAGTTACACCAAGCTGTGATCCAACTGTGTCAGCAACAAAAGATCCACAAGAAGTATTGACAGCTGTTTATGGTAGACTGGCATCTTCTGAATCTTTCAAGTCACCAGCACACCCAGAGGATTCTTCTGCTCAGGGAGTAGTACCACCAAAAGAGGGAGCGACCTCATGCTTGTTGTCAATGTTTTCTGGGTCAGGTTCTCAAAATGCTCCTCCTCAGACTGGATCTATACTTGGCGGGATTTTCCCTGGTGCCTCAGGATCAAAGGAAATTCCTGGCAAGAATCTGTTTTCTATGTTTTCTGGATCAAGTTCACAGGCCAGTGCAGGTAATGCAGGGCCTAAAGTTGAGAGTAATAGTTCAGGGGCTTCTACCTTTAATGAGTTACCAGGAAAAGGTTTATTTTCTGTGTTTGGTGGATCAAGTCCACAACAAGCCACTCCTCAGTCTTCTTCACTATTAGGAGGTCTTCTATCTGGAGTTGCTTCTAAAGATGCTACTGGAAAAGGTCTTCTTTCTATGTTCGGTGGGCCTAATTCAACACCTTCACCTAGTCCAACAGGGCCAACATCAAAACCATCTGAAACTGAGGGGCTGTTGAAGGTTGCATCATTATTCTCTCGAGGGGATGCTACTGAGGATAATAAATCAAAGACGGTGGGTTTTAGCCTGTCAAATTTGGGCTTCATGGAGGAAAAGAAATCAGGACCCCAGAATGATGATTCCAAGCGTTCTATTCTCTTGGCCGATCAAGAAAAAACAGCAGCCTCCATGGCTGCAGTCTCTGCTGATATTGCTGACAAAAGTTCAGATCACATTGTTGAGACAATTGCTGCTGAAGGGAGTAAGCTAGATGTTACCGTAAATAATTCTAGTTTGCATGGAGATGCTTTATCAAAGGATATTGATTCAAACTCAAAGCAGAGTACAAACACAGTAATCCAGACTACAGATCACCAACCTGAGCATATTAAACAGACTGATTCAACAGAGCCCAATGCCTCTGGCTCTGAGGGACTTCCTAAACATCCTGAACAACAGAAATCTGTCATAGACTCATCAGCTGAAGCAGTCAGTGGCTTTATGTGTAAACTGTTTACTGGTGCCAATTCAGCAACAAATTCATCAGGTGGTCTCTTCTCACAAACACACTCAACCACAGAAAGAAACTCATTCTTTGGCCTTCCAAGTAGCTTACCCACGGAATCTCTCAAAAACGACCTTTTCAGTATGTTTAAATCACCAGAAGCACCCAAAGCAGCTGACATAACACCATCTGTTTTCTGTACTCCTCAGTCTCTTCAGTCAGTCCAAGATCAGAATGCACATAATGATTCAATGTCATCTTCTGTGGATGTTGCATTGTCTGGAGACAAAGATGAAAAAAATAAAGTAGAAACACTTTTACCCGTGAAAGAAATGCCTGCTAATGATACTTTCAGTAATTTAACAGCTGAAAGTGTAGATCCCACAGCAGCTTCCAGCTGCCATCCAGGTGAAACAATTGTTAAGGAGCCTTCTGAGGGTGAAATAATACACGAGAAAACCATTGTCATTGTTTCTGATCCTGAAGCAAAGGATACAGACAAATCATTATCTGCAATAGGCAGTAGCTCAAAAGTAGCTCAACATCCTCCATCAACAGAACCTTCTCAGTCCATATTTGGCATGCCAAGTTTATCAGCACCCAAGTTTGGTTTCATGGCTGGAGCTGCAGATGCTGGAAAGTCTTTTGGATCTTTCTTTTCTTCACCACCCTCAATACCAAACACAGAAAGTGGCAAGCTTTTTTCTGGACTTAAATCATTTTCAGCAGGTCTGTTTCAAGAGGAGAGGTCAAAAGAAGAAACGTCAACATCTTTGTTTGGAACAAAATTGGGTTTTCCATGGCAGAAAGAAACTCCAGAACCTCCTAAGCAACAAAGACCTCCAGTTGTTACAACACAGCCTAAAGCTCAGAAGAATAAAGTTCACATTGAGGATACTACAACTACTGAAATAGAACATGACAATTGTATGTCAAAGGAAGAAAATTCTGAAATCGCACACCCTGTTTATGTTAAACAAGAAATTGTTGCAAATTCTGAAGTCCAAAAGAAAGAATTTGTTGTCCCAGAAAATGATACAAATAAACCCCAACTCAGTTCATCCACTCCTGATCTTCATCTTCAAAAGGAATTGGAAATACTTATCCAGACCCCACCTTCTACAGATGACTCTTCAGGATTGCAGCAGGAAAAGAAGGACCTTTTGATTCCAAAAAGGCTAGTAGCAGCATAATAAATGGTTTCATAACCATTTATTTTGCACTAAGTTTACATGCACAGCCATTATTCTATTTAAAAAATCTAATTTGTATATTTCATGGTGTTTACTTAGCAATTTCTGGACTTTGGTCTCTGCGATGAAATAATTATTAGAGTAGGACTTCTAGCAGTGCTCATGCAAATCTGCTGAAGACCCCTTTACCACAAGAATTTTGTGGTGATTATTGAAATTATTTTAAAATAAAAGTAATACTAAAGTATGCTGTCTGAAATATTCAAATTCAAAATTTAGGGGCTAATTTTTTATCAGAAGATCTCAATATACTGAATAAGAATATTAATGTGCATGAAAACACGTTTACTGACTTTAGTTTTAGCTTTAGTTTACGAAAATGGTGGCTTTCCCAATGTGTGATTTGTTTCTTCTCAGTGCTATGTGATTTTTGTACAGTAACTGTGTTTTGGCTCCTTGTAACTTTGTATTTCCATTAGCTTTGTGTAGCATTTACGGTGTTTCTTAATTGGAGACTTGCTAAATGGATGTAGTTTAAAAAAATTCAGTTACTGTAACTCGCTTGTTGCTATCTTTCTTTTTCTTTTCTTTTCAACAACACTAGCCCTGTGGACTCCAGTCGTTTTGGATCTTCAGGGAACCTCAGCCAAGCTAGTTCTCAGCTCAGTGAGCCTGGTCAGGAGAGTGCTGCGTGTTCAGAGTTAGAGGAGTCCTACCATTCCTACCACAGTACCGGCTATCGACCATCCAGAAATGGACATCACCCTACCAATGGACATACTTCCTGGGGGGAAGATGAGGGATTGAAATCCTCCCAAGACAACGGAAGGGGTATAAGCAGCACTATAAAAAAGGAAGTGGTTTCTAAACTGGACAAAATGCCTGAAAAAACTCTCAAAGGGTACAGCTATTGTACTGGCTTACAGTGATTTTCCAGTGTACATTTAGTATAATAAATATTCAATAGCATGAATTCATTTTCATACAATGTTTTATTTTTCTAGCTTCAGGGATGATGGAACGCCATTGCCATTCTCTACATCCAGATTGCGCTGGCTTAAAGCAATCAACAAAGTGAGAGCTCAGCTTAAGGAGGTATAGTAGGGAGCTCATACCCTCCATCTCCTTTGTCTATTCCTTCTTCAGTTGTTCCAGTTTCACACTTCAAATCAAACACCATCACATATCTTTTTTCCTATAAACCTGCACCAGTTACCAGCATCTTATCAATCCAAATGATCACTTGAATTTGATCTGCTTACCTTTATTGCTTTCCAGTAGGTAAATCTAAATTACAAACCCCACTGAGCTCATTCATGAACATCTGTTTTGGATTGGTTGAGTTTCACCATTTAAGATTTAAACTTGTGAAATGTAAGTTTTTTTTTTTGTAAACTTTGTGGATATAATTTGGTTGGTTGTTGGTTGGAGATAGTAAATTCATCAGTGCAATGAAAGTGGTAGTATTCCACTATGGTACCGTATAAGCTAGGCAAGGCATGCTGAATTCTCAGCCTAGACCTCACAGCCTTAATCTGCAAGAGCCAAGGTCAGGCTCTGAAGAGTTGCTGTCCGATATCGCTGGTAGTCTCAGGGAGTAATTACGTATTGAGAGGCAGGGAGCTAGAGATAGCGTGTGTCTTGAAGAGTATTTAATGACTAGTTAAAAGAAATTGGGGACTTGACTTTAAAAGTTTGCAAAGTGAAGTACATGGCTATTGCTATTGCTTTTGCCTAATTATCAAAGTAGTGGAATACAGTGTTAAATATGTAAATACAGCATGTTGATTTACAATGTATGTTCAGTACGTGTTCATGTAATATGTTTATTATAATTATTTTAATAATTCTATTATTTATTAACGGAAAGATAACAATAAAAGGCCAGTATTAAATTTCCATACTTTTGCATAAATCAGTTAAAACAGTTTTTTTATTATAAAGTATTATAATATATTATAAAATATTACAAAATAGTGAATTATAACACACACACACATATACAGTCATAACATACATTTCCCCCCTTTTTTCATTTCTGCAGTTTGTTCTATAAATGTAGCCCTATGTTACCTCTCTCTCTCTCTCTCTCTCTCTATCTCTCTCTCTCTCTCTCTCTCTACACCTTCGTTAAATTATTACATTAATATAATATGTTTCTTTTTTTCATTAATCAAA